AAAAAAACAGTTAGGTCCAAGCTAGAAAATGCTTTCTAATTCCTTGTTTTCCAAGCTAAAAAAATGTAGGAAATGCTAAGTGTCGACCGACCATCGACGGAGTGTCGACCAATTACTGACCGATACATCGGTCAAGTATCGACCAACTATCGGCGAAGTGTCGGCGAAATGTCGGTGTAATGTCGGCAAAGTGTCGGCGAAAAGTCGGCGAAGTGTCGGTGAACGAAAAGCTATATCGGCCGAGACACGTCTGGAACGACTATCGACCGTGTCTCGACCGAGTGTCGACCCACTATCGACCGACTATCGACCGGCTATCGACCGCTATATCGACCGACTGTCGACCGAGCGTCGACCGGGTATCGACCGAGTGTCGACCGACTATCGACCGAGTGTCGACCGCTATATCGACCGCTATATCGACCGATATCTCGGTCGACATTACCCACAGTAAACAAGATCCATGTTGTTCCCCTCATAGCCCAAAGGTAGCTGGGTCAATTAAACGCAGATCTGACTCCACCATGATTATGAAAGCTTCGTCGGATTAAAGTTCATAATTTCTCAAATTTGGAAATGTGCCGATAAAAAGTGTCTAAAATAGCTCTATGGATAGCTCAATGGATGAAAGAGCAATGAATATACCGATTTCTGGATAGACATAATAAATAGTAAAGGACAAGTGAATGGAAAACTTAGCCTCGAGGTACAAATTGACGTTGGCCGCTCGCCGTTAACGCGATTTCAAATCTCTCTATTAACAGCCAAGCAAACTTGACATAACGTGGGGGGTGGAAGTTGATCATGAGTCAGTTGAATCATGAACAGTCAAACCCTTTTAATAAGGACGCTAAGGGGACCCTGAAGAGTGTCCGTATTAAGTGTCTTTATTAAGCGGGACATTAAATTTAGAGGGAAAGTAAGAGCTAGGGACATTAAACTAAAACTGATCGTAATAACGAGGTTATGTCCGTATAGCAGAGTTTGACTTTAACTGCGCATGCTTGGCTTCAGTCTGTTTCATCACTACTCAACATGCAATTGCATGTAAGAATGGCAATGGCAAAATCCCCACAAATAACATGGTCTGAGATGCTCGCGAAGGCCGGATCGTCTGGGAATTTCCCGACATATCGATTCCTTCCCAGGTTTTGCTGAATAATGACAATAATGAAAACATATAACACGTAGTCGTGTCTTGAGTGGTCGGGGACAAACCCCCGGAGAAATCGGAAAATCAGAAGCGTTTCTGTTTCACCAAAGTGTGTCACATTTTCGAGATAGTCTACGAATAAACCCATGCCATTTATAAATTTGATGAATTTCGATGAATCAGTTTTTACAAAACTTCTGTTAATGCCGTCAGCAATGTCGTAGTCGGTTTGTTTGGGCCGGTACTCTTTTGCACGAGCTTTCACTTCTAACTTAATAGGATTTTGGTCTAAATCGAAAGGCTAATTTGTGTTTGCGTTGACCGGTTTTTAGATGTTATTCCTTTTTTATATGGGTTTGTCAATGTAAGTGTCATTTAATAGTTGTGGTTTAATTATATTCAAGTGTCGGTCCTTGAAGTGGGCACGTTTGCGAAAACAACAGACCTTGGGTTTTTTCCTTCATCGGAGTTCCTTTATTCATTTAAAGTAAAGCCTCGAACTGGTTTGGTTCGGTGGGTAATAGGAAGTGCATTCAGTTAAAGTCACTAAGGAGTGTCCATTCGAGGACAAACGTTGAGGCAGTTGAAAGATAAATATAGGAAGATGGATAAGTTTTGACTTGTGTTGCTAGAGATGAGTTTAAAATCTACTTTTCACACGTCTCGAGGTTAAGACCTTTTGATTGAACTAGGAAGGCTTCTTAAGTTACTGTCAGAGTTTATACTAACTATAGTGGATTGTCATAAATAGCTAGCTAAAAACGACAAACAAAGTGCATACTGCCGGGAAAAACAATGCTAAGACAGATACTCGTTATATCAGGCCTTCACGCGCGCATCTAAGTGTGAGCGAGTAAAGCCAATCAAGCAAAAGAAACGGACAATGGAGGAATTTTCTACAGATATTTTCGGAGTGTTAACCAGGGAAAACCATCATAACGCTTTAAAAGCAGAACGACGTAGGCAAATAGAATCCACTAAAACTTCGCAGAACACTAAGGCCTTTGCAATTTGGCCGCACATTCAAAGCAGTTTAAAGGTCATCCTCTTCTATTTTTCATGTGTGTAGGTATATATGCTTGTTTGGGGAAACTAAATAAAGGATAATAAATCATATATAAACAAACAAGTTTGCACATATTCGGCTTGTGCAGACCCAAATATATACCTTTTTTATGATTTATTATCAACTGGAAACGTCACAAAAAGAAGACCGCCATCAATTAAACGATTTATTGTTAAAATGAGTTTTCATTCGGTGATATATTTTTAAAACGAAGCTGTACGTGGTCCTCGCAGTGAATTGAACAATAGAGATTACTTTACGTAAACAAAGTACCTGATCTATCGCACGCCCGTGCAGGAACAAATAATACAACATAAGGGAGATCTCGAGCACATAATTCAAAGAAAACAGGTGCAGGCAAAACAAAGGCATATTTGCTATTTAACTGAAGATCACACAGCACTGCTTTCAGTCAGTAATCGCTGTGTTCTGTTTAAGCTCTCATCATGGTGCAAAATTCCGCTTTTTTCCTAATTATCTACATTTCTGGAGGTTCTCTGGGAACGACCACCTCACCTCAGCAACAAAACACTGCAACATTACAAGATTTATGTAAGGTAAGAAACGATTATTTTACAAAGGTTGTTCATTTCTAGAAATTGCGATTAGACATCTCGCACGACAGCACCTGTATTTTGCACTGCTCATGGCCATCATATAAATGCAAGTTTTGGTTTGGATAATTGTAGTCACTCTGTGCCTTATAATTATGCACTTTACAATCTACCACAGCAGAAAAAATAGTGATTTAATGTTACGTTTTTTAGCTTTCCTGGGCGCATTTAAATTAAATTCAGTTAACAATGAAAGTGGAAGAAACTTCTGTGTGTTTTTTGGATTTAGACCCTAAGTAGAGGGTCTGATTGGGGGTTCCACTTGTCGGTTGTCGGTTAAAATTCAGTAACTTTGTCGGTAGTCGGTTAAAATTTTCAATCTTTGTCGGTAGTCGGTTAAACGTTTCGATTTTTGTCGGTCGTCGGAAAATCTCAGTGAATAAGTAAAAACGCTTGTTGATTATTAATATTTTTAATATATTTCACCCACTTTTCGAGACTTTGATCCCTAAGGAAGAAGTAAAACTTGTAAGAATGCATCATTTGATTGCACTTAAACTTCATTGGCCGTCTTGTTTGTTTATGCAACAAGATCGTTTATTTCACCATTGTTTGCCAAATGAATATGATGAGTACTGAAAAAATCACCAAAGCTTTTATTGTAAATGCGAACTTGGTTTCCCGGTAGACTACAGGGCACAGTAAAAAGTAATTAATTAATCAATGGACTCTAGCCTTCTGGATACTTCAATTATTTTAAGTGAAAAACTGCGTTGCGTTTAAGTGAAAAGGGTGACAGGCTGCACATCTATCCCTCTTATGTTTTGGCTCTAACAAGCATGTCCTTTGCCATAATTTTCCTTTCTCAGAGATATAGCACTTTAGGTGGTTCTTTAAAATTTTGTCAAGGTAGTGGTTGGTTTTGTATGAGATTCCACTTTTTCATTAAAGCTTCTTTTATAATGGACACTAAGGGCTGGTATTGTGTCACGAAAAGCAATATTTCTTTTTCTTCGATTCCTTGTTGTTTTGTTTCCGGACAGCTGCCTTCCTTTCTGCGAGTTTTACTTCTAATAGCAATTTTTCTTTCCAAATTGTGTGGCTAGCCTCTGTCCATCAAGCGCATTTGAAATCTGAAATGCTTACTCCTCAGAAGAGTTTGTTCGTAGGATTCTCAAGGCTTCTCGTTTGTGCAACAAGCCCTTTTAATTAACAATTGGTGGATGATAAGAAATGAAATGAAATGCGTCTTTACATCAAAAATTAATGTTTCATGAGTGTTTGGAAATCAGATGAAAATCTGCACATTTTTACATCCTTGATTTCTCATTCTAAAATCATTTTGTTTGATAAAAAATATCAAGCATTTGACGCAATTTCATCACCAGATGAAAAACCTCGAAGTTCGTCAAAAATACCCCGCTGCCCGTCGTATTTTCAACTCTCTTCCCGGTGTTTTATCTGGTGATGACACACTGCGTCGAATGCTTGATATATTACATTAACAAACCTTATAACCTCAGAATGGACGAAAAAAGATCACCGTTTGACTAAAATTACTGCTACAGATATTATAATCATACAAAAGGCTACATTTGCGCACAACTGACTTTTTTATGATAATGACTTATTTTATACGCATAGGTTGTCGCCACCTAGTGATGAAACTATCTTTATTTTCAGAAATCTACACTCGGCCATGGTTTTCCAGGTATTCCAGGTTCAAACGGAATGCCTGGAATACCCGGGGCTCCCGGACCGCAAGGACCCCAGGGAAGGGAAGGTGTAAAAGGACAAATAGGTAATACGGGATCACAAGGAATGCCGGGTCCAAGAGGAGACAGAGGGCGCGAAGGGCCTCTTGGGAAGAGTGGCCCGACAGGAATAAAGGACATCAAAGGTGAACCGGGACTTGTGGGAATGAAAGGAGAGCGAACCGGGGCTCCCGGACCGCAAGGACCCCAGGGAAGGGAAGGTGTAAAAGGACAAATAGGTAATACGGGATCACAAGGAATGCCGGGTCCAAGAGTAGACAGAGGGCGCGAAGGGCCTCTTGGGAAGAGTGGCCCGACAGGAATAAAGGACATCAAAGGTGAACCGGGACTTGTGGGAATGAAAGGAGAGCGAGGCATTGTGGGAAATCAAGGAAGAAAAGGAGACAAAGGAGAGAAAGGAGAAAGCGTCAAAGCAAGTCAAGCAAATGTAGTAGCACAAACCAACTGGAAACAATGTGTGTGGAAATCAGATAACGATATTGATAACGGGAAGATTAAGGTAATCAGAATGTTGGTTTATGTCAGACCTTAGTACAAGTATCCCAAATCAAGCAAAAGTGCACCTCAATGAATGAAGAGAAGGGCAATTAGTCTTATGTTCCCATACACTTGGCTACTCATTCTTCAATTAAGTGAATCCTACATAGGCGGTTTTTTTATGTCTTTACTGTACACAGAACTACTTACTATTTCAGAAGTTATCCCGACCTTAATGCAATACATGGTGTTCCTGTACTGAGTATATTGACAAGCGTACCTTCTACTACCTTTAATGACCTCATCATGCACGACAAAGTCGGAAAATACGGCATTTTACTCGTCTTTTCTCTCCTACAGGAGTGTACTTTCAACAAGTTGGCGTCCGATACATCGCTCAAAGTCTCATTTCAAGGAAACATGAGGGTTAGGGGTAATAGTCGGTGTAACCGATTGTATTTCAAGATAAATGGCAGTGAATGCAGTGGACCAGTGACAATTGAAGCACTTGTCTACAATCACTGGCTGTCTGGTAATACCAATCATGATCAACTGCATCATCGGTCATTTGAGGGATACTGTGAAAACATTCCACAAGGGGCTGTTAGAGTGGAATTATGGGTAGGACAGTTCAGTGGCTACCTCTTGGGTGATGCTTGGACTGGGTGGAATTCAGTGTCCCGGATAATGATTGAAGAAGTATCTAGGCCCCAGTCCTAACACTTTTGCTCACAACAAGAAAGCCTCAGCTAAAAAAACATGGATGATAGTTTCAAGAAAAATAATAAATCGTTGGATTGTATGACTTGATTGTATAATTTTCCATCTTGTGAATAAGGAATGGCTGTTCTCTCATATGGCTTTTACCAGGTCACGTGATGGCAAAGGCCAGGATAATTTAACTTTATAGAAAAAGTACACAGACTTCAACGAATTTCTTTATTGCATTAAGTCCAAATATTGATTAATTCATGATTAGTGAGCGCGCACAATTATTATTTAAAGTTGTAAAGAAACGCAAGCGAACAAGTCAGCAAGGCGAATGAGTGAATAAACTCAATCGTAAAAGCGAAACAACCTAAAACAAATCTGTTTATCAAATAACAAATGGTATTGAGACCCGTTTCATTACATATTCCTGTTGAGAATTAGGTATAGGTTTTTATAGTCGCGTTAAGAAGTGATGTAAACTCAGCTTCCGTGATGGCCTATAGTTTGGACTACATAAGATTTAGTTTATCATCATTACAATAAAGGTGATTTACTTATACGAAAAAAAGTGTATTTTCTGTTTTCTGGACTGTACATTTAAGAGACTTGGACCGTGATTTCTCAAAGCCTTTCCACACTAATGAAAAAATCCCAGGGAGACTTCTGGAGTTATCGGTGGTACTAGAAATCCAAAGGAAAAAGAGGAGTAGGCCAATGACCATTGCCTCTATTGAATTCGCCACGGTGACTCAACACGGTGACAGGGGACGAAACAGGGCTTACGACCCAATTGATATCAACCTCTTCATTATCCACCCAGCCCATCCACCCTTGGGTCTACGCCCGGTTCGTAATTTGTAATTTTTAAAGATGTCGTAATTTGTAACTTTGTCTTGATCTGCAATAAACTATAATCAGAAGATATGATTAGTAGAAATATTTCCAAATTTTTGGTTTCAGTTTTACCTGATATACGCTTTGAGGCCTAAACCCAACATGATTTTCTGGTGCTGTCTAAGAAGTACTTAGAATAGTTTCAAGCAAAGAATGCAGCAATGCATGGCTGAGTTGGAGAAGAGTGGATATGGTTGGTTTACCGTTGCTCACATTTTTTTTTTGGGGGGGGGGGGTGGGGGGAGTAGCACATTTAACGCAAAACAATGTTGCGCTGCAAAAAGACTTTTTTTTTCTTACGGTCGGTACGGGTTTGAATTAAGCTTTTATTTTGAACAATTCTTTCATGTCCTATTCAGGTTAATTAATTGGAATTTGTTTAGTTGTAGTGAATGTTTATGTTTATTAGCTTTTTTTGCAAATGAAAAATATCTTTGTTGTTTCAGTTATTTGTTTCGAGAAATTTTGATCACTTTAAAAATGAGTTCCTGTAAAATTTACCATTAATAACTTACTTTAAACTGAGGAAGGACAAGGAAAAACCCGTTATCGGCACAAGTGTTCATTGACGGATTTGATTCTTTTGATTGTCACTTTTTTAAAAATTGTATTTTTTTGCTCAATCAGAAAACAATTTAAGCTTTCTATCTTTGTTTGTATCACAGTGAGAAGGACGGACAAGATAAAAGGTGACAAACGATAAGTACTGAATGAAAATACTCGAAGACACGTAGCGACTAAAAGCTAATGGTTTAAGTTTTAATTCTTTTGTAAAAATAAGACGGACAATTTTTAAGACCTAAAATATACTTGAATGAGGCCTATTTAATGGGATAAAAACTGAAATTTACAATAGCTTCTTTAATGCACCCAGTCAAGAAATTATAAACCTTTCCCATACGTTTTATCAATCTATGTCAAGCTATACTCGGCACGTAATTTGCAAGTTAGAGCCAACGTAACACACAGCGTCGAAGAGAGAAATTGTGAAAAATAACTGACTTAGAACGGATTGGAAAAGAGGAATCAGCAATCTGAAAAAAGAATCAAAATTCACAGTGGCGCATTGAATTAATGTAATTATGTTTTGTCATTATTTCGCTGTCCTTGTAGCCTGCTTTCAGCAGGCGCCGGCTTTTTTTTTAGGGCGAAGGGAGATTTCGAGGACTTGCGCGCATGAGAAAAGGGAAGGATGCCCCCTCTCCCCTTCGCACGTTCCCATCTCGCTCTCTATAACAACCAACCAATAATTTAAAACTTGTGCCTGTCACACAAGCCATGTCCTTGGTCTAAAAGGCCCATGTACTTTTAGCCTGAGTTAAGGCACGACCAAAGACGAGTCTTAAGAGTTGGTTGGCTAAGGGTGGGTGGGTGGGGGGAATGATCAGGTTCGTTATTTGCCCTTGCATTGGTCCTTAGGAGCTGAGTTTCGACACTACTTCTCTACACTGACTTACCTAGGGCTTTTCCCCAAACAACTCTCTTCAATAGCTGACTTACATTGTATGCTTTGGAAGGCTGATTTGTTGCAAGCAACACAAGTAAGAGAGGATAAAGGGGACAGAGAAGGTATACCCCATACACACCCTTTTTTATAGGTAATTCGTCTCGAGTTATTTTTAGAATCGGGATAAAGTTACCTCGCGCGCTGCCTGGATGTTTCGTGGAGGTTTCGCATGACTAAACACCGTGCAAAACATGTCGGGCGAAAGGCAATGAAAGCGTGAAGAGATCGAGAGCATTTTTGAATATTGAAGCGAAATGAGTCGGCGCTCACCTGGGAAAAGGGAATCGCTGGACTCTTTGACAACCCGTGAAATCCGTTTAACCCGAAGTTGTTGTAACCTCAGTGCTTGAATAAAATGAGAAATTTCGCCGGTCTATTGAAACCCTGTTGTTTGTATAATAAAGCAAGTAGGACGCCAAGTGTTATTTTTGTTGAATAATAAAAGACTAATAAAAGAATAAATATCAAACCAGAAATTGCTCTCTTCAAACTGTAAATTATAAATGATCCTGAGAGAATATTCAGTGTGTTAAGGATTTCCCTGCTGTCCTGTTAGCTCTATATAAGAGAGGAAGGGCGATTCTTTTTTAATGTCCGTTTCGCTGACACANAATAAAAGAATAAATATCAAACCAGAAATTGCTCTCTTCAAACTGTAAATTATAAATGATCCTGAGAGAATATTCAGTGTGTTAAGGATTTCCCTGCTGTCCTGTTAGCTCTATATAAGAGAGGAAGGGCGATTCTTTTTTAATGTCCGTTTCGCTGACACAGCTTTAGCAAAAATCTCTCTTTAGGCCGTTTTCGTCGACAAAACGAATAGCAATATCGCTCTCCGCGTCTTCCGCCATTTTTTTCAGCGTCAATTCGTGAAGGACGCGTGGCTCTGAGCGTGGGTCATCCACGCTGAACACATTCGCGCTATGTGATTCGCTGTTGTCTAATCTCCCCTGAGATCTGTGGTGTTAAAAATAACTCGAGACCAATTACCTATGGAATAGGGTGTGTATGGGGGATGCCTTCTCTGTCCCCTTTATCCTCTCTTGACAAAAGGTATTGAAGTAATCTATATTTAACTACACATGTAAGCTATTTTAAATAGATAGGTTTTCATTGAACTGCAACTTTTTAAAATTTTACTTTGAACTGATTGTTTTGTCGTAATTGGAAATAGCTGTCCTAATTGTAATAATTTTGTCGTAATTTCTACTACCTGTCGCAATTGTAAGAACTCTGTCGCAATTTGTAATAAGAAAGCTGACGTAATTTGTTTATACCGATTCAATCAAAAGGCAGGCTTGCTTTTCCAGTGGTTTTGATCGTCAAGGGGACAGTAAAAGGTTGGTCAGGAAGGACACAAGTGATTTCAGCTCATTTTTAGGAATAACCTGTAAACTTTTTTAAATAGCAAGTTTTTAACTTGGGCAAGCGATCTCAGACTCCTGTAAAGAGTTTAAAATTTTAATGCAAGTTTACAAAACTAATCAGTAATTTTCGCACCACCTTTCTGCTGACCACCTGCTGAGGGAGAAAACAGGTGATAAATTTATTTGCCAAACTTAATGAAAGTTATGGTAACAAAAACAATATCGATGCTAATAGGAATAGATAAATCTCCAATTTGTCTTTTATGCTGTTTCGCTTCGTATTCAGCTACCCTGATGGTGGGGTGAAACAATTTTGGACCAACTCTCCTCCCTCTAACCGTGTTTGTTCCTTTTAATTTCAATTTTGGAAGCAAGGACCAACGTTACAAAAAAGAAGGACCGAATCCTAATAAAGGATCTACTCAGCTGTAAGTAGAAATATCGAACAAAAGAAGCAAGGCTGATTTTACAGTCGGGAATATATATCTTTTGCTGCCAATATTTCTGAAGGCACCGCCTTCCTTCTTCAGGGTCTTACATACAATGATAAGGTTAAGCTAAGACATACACATTCCACTCTACAGGTGAAATCAGACCACTCATCACATCGAATGTAACTCATCACATAGACTGTAACTCTTAAAACGTCATTTACATGGTACAACGCAACCACTGCCCTAAACAGTGTATTGGTGAAACCAAACCATATTCCCGTACCATGTTTCACTCCGAAAATACAGCCCTTTAAACTTCCGAGTTTTCACAGTGTGTGAGACCAAAATAATTCCTGCGGTTAAAGTGCAACTAACCCCCAAAAATGTTTTTCGCTTAATGAAATCTCCTTATTTTTCTGATTACTTTTGCGAAAAAATTATCGTGATTGACAAAATCCTCGCGTTTCCATGGCTGTTTAAAGTTAGGTCTCTTGTGTCCCATTACCGAGGTTCGTGGGAGCTGGGTACGAATGTTGTTGTGACGTCATCGAAGGAGGACATCTGCCGCGAACTCATGAGTAAATGACCGAGAA